ATGCTGGCAGGTAGAATATATGTAGGAAGAGATGGTAAGACTTTGTCCTGACAGGAAACATGAGATGGGGAACAAAATATACGGTGGCTCTATGAAACAGGAAGTTTCAGCATCTCTACTCTCAGAGGTGTCTGTATTCACCAACCTTCCTTTGAAGCTATATTTCTTACATCACTATATCACACTTTGGGCCTGATGTTCAAAAGGCTTGCATGTATAAAACACTTGCAAACCTGTTAGCAAGCACAAAGCTGATCTTGAAATCAGGTGCAAACTGAATTGCATGTGTACAGTGAACAGAATATTGGGTGCAAACATTTTTGGCATGTGTAGCTCAATGAATAAGCAGATTAAATTATTGACGATGAAGCTCCAAAAATTCATGGGAGGAGGATATGCAAATATAAATAGTTAACATCCACAGGGCGATTTATGGAGCCTTAAAGTGACTGTGGTCGCAGTTTCTGCATCTATATTTAGAACTCAGCTGCAAACTCACATGCCAACATTTCTTTGGTCATTGTGGCCACAAAGGAGACATTTCTACAATGACGATGGAGAGACAGTAAGTCCTATGGGGCAGTGATTCTAAAAATTAGGAAAACTATTTCAACTGTCCCATTTCTGTTATTTCTTCACATCTAGTCATTTTTTTATATTTTGTGACAAATGAGAAATAATGTTATATCTATATCAGCATCTTATATTTATATCTAAATCTTTGTTTCATATCTACATTTCTGATAAAACTATATACAGTAATATTCATTGTAAATGTAAACATATGTCTTAAATGTTCAATCCAAATGGTAAATCTAAAGCTAAATATATCTTATGTCTAAATGTTAAATCTAAATTTAAATATATATATTTTGAATCTTAATCTGCCATTTAAACATATGTCTTATATCCTAAATCGAGATCCTAAATCTCATATTCTAATCTTGCAGCATCCCCCAAGCACATTGGGACATCAATAAGAAGAGGAGGTATCTTCTGAAGTATCCAAAACACACTCCCCTTTTCATTGGCATTCCTATGTGCTGGGGGTGCAACTACAAGTTTATGTGCCTGGTTAATTCTATATCTTCTAAAGATGTAAGTCTGAGATTTAAGATATACGATAATGTGATTTAAGATTTATATTTAATATATTTGTATTAATATTAAAAGATATGCATTAGAATTTCAAAAAATAGATTTAGAACTTAAGATATAAGTTTAAGAAATATGATGAAGTAAGAATCTATCTATCTATCTATCTATCTATCTATCTATCTATCTATCTATCTATCTATCTATCTATCTATCTATCTATCTATCTATCTATCTATCTATCTATCTATCTATCTATCTATCTATCTATCTATCTATCTATCTATCTATCTATCTATCTATCTATCTATCTATCTATCTATCTATCTATCTATCTATCTATCTATCTATCTATCTATCTATCTATCTATCTATCTATCTATCCATCCATCCATCCATCCATCCATCCATCCATCCATCCATCCATCCATCCATCCATCCATCCATCCATCCATCCATCCATCCATCCATCCATCCATCCATCCATCCATCCATCCATCCATCCATCCATCCATCCATCCATCCATCCATCCATCCATCTATCTATCTATCTATCTATCTATCTATCTATCTATGCACATATGTGAAGAAAGTGAGTGGAGAAAAAAGATGTCTAGGTGAGACAGATTAATACAATACAAAGCAAAAAATCTTTATGCAATAACTACAAAATGAAAAACACAGTAACAGAACTGAAATATTGCAGTTTGTTTATAAAAAAAAACAAAAAATAAATAAATAATATTAACAGAGTATAGTCAGAGAGCCTGTAAATGGACTCACTATTTTGTGGCAGGGGTGATACTTTGTCCCCCTTCAGTCATTCCTGCTCCATACAAAGCAGTTATTTTTAAAGTCAGCTTTTGCAAGTTTTATTATTTAGAATAATTTTTTTAATTGAACTTTTGTTAACTTTTGTTAAACTTTTATTTGTTGCACTGAAATGCCAATATATAGGGTTTGGGCAAATATAGTTGATCGGAACTGGTTCTACCCTTTAAATTACCCTGAATTGTTCAACTCTTTCATTTTTGATTGTCAGTTTGGATGCCCAATGTCCTTAATGGTAATGAAATTACCTTATATTAGCGAAGAAGAATCCACATTATATTCTTAGACAGAAAGCTACATGTGAAAATTTAACTATGAAAAGAAAATTAATTATATTATTTTAGAGTTCATATGTTAAAAATTTATATAGAGGTTGAAAATAACTATGACATGATTTATAGTAACATTAATACAAGAAATAAAAATAAATCAAAATGAGAACAGAATTGTTGAAATTTAAACGATATCCATCCATATGTAAAGTGTACCGTACTTTAAATACTATACATAATTATAACCTCCAACACCGAGGCTATTTTCTATTTTTCTTAGCCTCTTTTAAACTGCCCAATACACATTTACGTTGGCAAGACACTTCACCTGCCTTGCCTGCTGTTGGTGGTCAGTAGGCCCACTGGCTTTGGTTGAATGGCAGTCTTGCTTCTGTCAGTCAATTCAGTTTTAAAGGATTTATGCGTTTGTTACAAGAACAAACTATATATTTACTGTTTTTTTGGTTTGTAAAAAAAACAACAACACAATAATGACATGAATTTAATAATTGTTTTTTAGATTATTTTATAACTTTATAAAGTGGCTTCTCTTTTGTTGTTATTTTTGAAAGTAGGCAGACAAGAAACGGTATTAGAGAGAGAGGAAAACAAGCAGCAAAAGTCACCAGGCCGGGACTGAAACCTGTGCCAGCAGCGTTGAGGACCAAAGCCTCTGTACATAGGTTGTTAACTTAACCCTTCACTGCCAATACATCCTTGATTGGGGATTTTAAGAAATATATTTTTCTATAGCTGGGTTTCAATGAAACACAAAATTTAAGCAAACTTTATAAAGAAAAAAAAATGGAAATTGTAATTTGCAATGTTTTAATATGGTTTAAGGCAAATTAACCGAGTAGCACAGCTTGGGCGTGATGTCATCTTACATCGTCGTCCAGATCAGTAATGGAGGAAAAGTTTTAATGAATGTATTACAGTACTATTGTGCAATTCCAAAAAAGTAAAAAAAAAACAACAACAATGCTCTAGACTTTGTTTACAAGTTTGACAACTTTCCCTTCCCATCCAGGAAGCTTTTTCAATTCAATTCTATCGTGCAAATTTTCCTTATGTCAACATGTCAGCTAGCAATGGTGATATTGCTTCCAGCCATGTTTAAGCGCATAAAAGGAACTTATGGGAAGACACTGACAGCAGAAACAGCTCATCAGTCAATGTGACTGATTGCTACTTCAGAGCCGATTCAAATAAAAGTTTTTTTTTTTTTCATCAATCTTTTGTGTATTGACCTTGTTTTGCAAAAGCCACCTTAAGTGAGCGTTAAAACTTCTCTTCTAATTTAAGGGAGTTTTTATTTTTATTTTACTGCTTCAACAAAACATTTCTGATGCAATACCTCAAAAATATAAATCAGAAAAAGTAGATGGAAACACACCTTATATTCTGAAGAAAGATATTCAAACTGGCTTAACACAATGAAAAAACAGAAGACGATCACAAATCATAAACGTGTCAAAAACTGCTATTAAAAACATCAAATAACAACCGGGCCACATTGCAGCTCTGTGCTGACTCCACCCCTTGTTTTGACATTTAATCAGCAGAAAAAAACATCTAACATCTGTGCATCAACCAATCAGATGGATTTCAGCTGTAACATATAAATTCTGACAAGTAAACTCAAACATCCAAGCTTTTAACGAGCAAAGCAGCTCCTCCATCCAAGATCAGTACTGTTCCAGCACCAATTGGCTCCTATCTGGCTGACCATGATTGGCCGGTATAATAACTAGATCTGGGCATAGTATGCTTCTCAAATAAAGATGTAATGAGACGAGTGGAAATGTTACAGATTTTTATCAGTTATCAATAACACAATCAACCCTGCATCTATTTTCTTTCGTTAACAGTACCAAACACAGAGAAAATATAACATTTAACTTTTAACCTCCACACTGATTGTCACCAAAAATAAAGAATGACTGCAAGAAAAGGAACAAAAACAACATTTTAATAATACCTAAATCCTTTTTTTTGTTTCTCAGGAAATATATTATGTCTTTTTTGGAGATAAGTGAATGCAAACTTAAATATAGGTGGAGATAAATCACCTACAGCATTTACAGGAATCTAAGCTTCAGAAGTTTCGATGGCAGAGAAAGACATAATAGCAGTATCACATCATTGTGATACTGAAAATGACACAAATAAAGTCAATAATATATAGTAAGCTGACCTTTACCCAACTGAAAGCTACTTCTAATTCAGGGAATTATACACCTGCAGAGGACAGATGCCTGTCAGAGGAGTCCGAAATGGTTTGGACAATCCAGACCTCACATCAGTCAGCTCATAACTCAAATATGTGGCCCTGAAACCAAAAGCAACATAAGCTAAACTGCAGACACTTCAATTATGCTACCTAAAAAAATCCACTTTCAGTTCTGAAATCAGAGACAGCGATGAGCAAACATTTCCACAACTTCTTTTTAACATACATTTTTCTCAGACAAAGTCACCGAAGAAGGTCAGAGTCGGGGAGAATTTTTTTCAAGGGCCCAAAGTGTTGGTGAGACAGGTTACAATCAAAACAGAACCAGTAGATGCATGATCTACTCTGAACAACGATGTGGCATCAAAACCCTCCAGCCTCCACTGAGAGGAAAACAGACAGATTCTTTCATCTTCTCTGTTTCAACCAGAACCACAGAGCGGCGCAGCCATTCAGCACATACGTTTCTAAAGATCCAGCAAATCTTATCAAACATTCAGCTACAGCATGAGTCGAACCTTTAGATGCTTTTTGGATTAAATCGGCAGCAAGCAGGGGGTCCAACTTACTTGAAAATGTCTCTTGCTTCAAAGTTCTATGCATGTCTGCACAATAAGATCCAACACCTAGAAGACACAAAGAGGAAGACGCTCAGGATGAAATCAGGTTTAAATAACATTAATCACTGTTCTTTGAGCATCATTTTGCAGGAGCTGTTTTTGGATTTAAAAAAAGGGACAAGAAACAGCTGGGGTTCGCTATGCAACATTTCAACATTTTCAACCCTTTCAGTGAGACGCTAAATCACAGTTTAACTTACAATCATAGAAGAAATACATGTGTGAATAATTTGAGAGATTAATCTTTTATTCAAACAAACTCTTACTAGAAAATGTTGAAAAACAATCCCAACCTTGTAAGTCTTTATTATTTTTTTTCATATGTATAAATAAAGAAAATATTTTGTTGACTCCTTATTTATCAAACTTTGATAAATGATAAAGATGAATATGTTTCTCCAGATTGCAAAGCAACTTTCTGTGACTTTCAGATGCTGCAGCTGGAAGAAAAGGGGATTTTCTAGTAAGGCATTCTCATCACTTAATCCAATAGGGGAAAACTTTGAATAACTGCACATCAATAATAAGTATCACATAGCGGAATCTCTTGGTGAGTTTTCTCCTGCAAATATAGAAAAGATCACATCTGTTTGTTTTATGCAGGATTTTCCCCCCAGATTGGTGTAAGGCCTTAATATGTATCCAAATAACTTAAATTGGGTGCTATTAGCTGTAATGTGATGCTTTCTAAAAAACCACAACGGGTTAGGAGAGCCATCTCTGCTCCTGTCTCGCTTGGATCTATTCAACACAGCTGGATTCACAAGGAAACACAAGGAGTGAAAGAGGAGTGAAGGCAGGGAAACCTTTCCACAGGAGCCAATGAAATGTGAAGTTGTCAAAACACACTTTTTCTCTCTGCTTTTCCTTTTCTTTGTTTAAACCAACTGAATACTCTGGAACCACAAAGAGGGTGAAAGCAAAGGTTTGACTTAGATCCCTTATTCTTTAGAAGTCAGGAAACAGGATGAGATGAATGATGAGGAACATATCCAGGACTTAAGATCCGGCATTGCCTGACGTGGCTTTTTAAATATCCTTCATTATCCAACCTGTCTTTGAAACCTGAGCTCATCACCTGCACACGTCTTCTCAAACAAAACTTCAGGGGAAAGTCGTCTCTGTTGAATCTGATAGGATATTTGCTTTGCTTTGTAACTGTATCCAAACAAGTGTTATATTTACTATAGTTGATTCATAGCAGCTCTAAAACAGAGGCTGTTACTGCTCCCAGGCAGTGCATGGGCAGATTTAGCCTCCTCTGTCATGAAATGATGGACTCTCTTGAGATAGGGCCACATTGTGTGGCTCAGAAGAAGGGAAATCTCCCTTTTTTAACAATGAAACCCTCTTTAGTTTTTCCAACAACTTTCACAGGGCTCAGATCAAAACAGAACAGCTGTGGATCTACCTGTATGTACCTCTGGTTCACAATGATAACAGTTCATCCAGGTGGGTGTCAACAAAGACAACGGTGCAGGTAGAATCCCAGACCTATTCTACCTTGCTAATCTCCTCATTCTGACATTTACTGTGATTTGTGAGTCAGTACAAAGGCTGAGCAAACAGCCTTTACCATCGCCCCTGGAGGAAGGGCTGAGAGAAACATTCAGAAATGCTTTGGTCTCTCCAGACATTTGTTCAACATGGTTCATCTATCTTTTCAACCCGAGGCTGATTAGGGAAAAAAGCTGTTGACTGGCAGGTTGCTATTTCTTCTCCTGTCCTCTTTGTGGAACAGTATATTTGTCAAGAAAGGGCCCCGTTTCTTTGTGCTTGCACAGATGTTCCTACATAGAGGTCAGAACTTATAAATGCATAAAAACACAAAGGTGGACAGAGTCAACAGAGTAGCATAAGATCAATAAAGATTTATATTAAAGTTGATTAAAGAGGACAGAGTGAATCATTGCAAAGAAGCAGATGACTCAACAAGAAAAAGAGATTCCATTTCCTGGTTTTTTGGTTGATTACAAACACACAAAAATAGATTGTGTCAAAGAATGAAGTTTTCCACTGCTTGTATAAAGCACCATAATTTTTTCCTAGTACTAAGAATACATGGCATATCAAATTCGGAGATCATTCAAATCAATGGAAGAAAAACTAAAAAAGGCACAAAATAATTACATAACAGATATGTATCAAGACTTCAACCTTTTTAACTTTGATGATTACAACTTACAGTGAAAGAACCAAAACTGTACTTTCTATGCAATCAGTTATGAATCAGCTTTATATCAGCACCTAACTGAGAATCTTACTGGTCTAACAAGCTACTGTATGGTCTCAAAAGTAATCGCTGGGATGCTGTCTCCACAGACGCTAAAGAATCTTCATTGAAACAGCCTCAGGCTGCAGGACGTCTGCACTCTCCTTAGAGTCAGAACTACACAAAGCCAATCATGAGCATTGCTTCTTTGCTCAGCAACTGTACTGCACATACTTGTAAGAGCTTCAGAATTCGCTGTCCTTTATGCAGAGTCACTACACCTACTAAGCTTCCATTGACATTTGCTATCCCTGTAGATGACTGTTCTGGGTGCTGGCCTAGGTTTAAAGATATGCTAAAGTTGTCTTTGCTTATTGGAGCCAGCCTTAGAAATAGGATGAGGGGCTGCGTCATCTAAGGGGAGCTCAGAATACAGATGCTGCTCTCCATCGTAGGAAATTATGTCCTAGGCATCTCATCAGGCACCTTCTAGGTGCCTTCCTTTGAGGTTTTCCAGGCAGGTCCTACAGAAAGTAGAAACCAGGGTAGATCCAGAACCATCCATAATGCTGGGGGAACACACATGCACACAGGTCAACATATAGGGTGCCTTTGGCTGCGCCTAATAAGTGTACAACAGAGCATGTGACAACCTCAGGAATCGTAAATCTTAAAATAAATAGAGTGTAGGAAACATAGTAAATAAAAAAGACTCACATTAGGTGAACATGTGCTTTCAAAACAACTTTCAGACAACTCTTCTCGGTTTAAGAGGAAATCATTTTCTGTTTTACCACTTTTCCCCTTACTTACAAAATATTACATGACTACAGAGATTTATTGCTCTAATTAGAACAGATTTATACTTGATGAACCAAGCCTGATGGTTGACACTTCCTCAGAGCATAAATGATGGGATTCAGAACATCATTAATGTCTAGAACCATGTCTGATACTCTTCAGTTCTCTCACTGTGGCTCATGATAACCAGAGGCTAAGTTTGAAGGGCAACATTCCTGCCCTCTATGCATTCAAAAGCCAACACAGCATGTAGCTTTGTCCTGCAGCTTTGCCAAGGATTCCTTTTAGGAGTCGTCAGCGGGTCAATGGCACAACGCATTGTGTCACTGAACAGAGATGTCCACTGGGCAGTTTAGTGGAGTCCAGGTGAAGGAGAAGGATGTAAAAATGGTATTGTGCAGCATTGAAATCAACCATAAATGCTTAAACCTAAATCTCTTCATACTGCTTGTTTTAAAACAGTAGACAGACTCAGTGTAGCTCCTATTGTTAAATGAACCAATGCTTTAGATTGAAGAATTGTATTGTTTTAGCCATAAATCCTGATGCTTTCTGATTTAACAAACGATATGTCATCAGGACCTCTACCTGCAAAGGCAGCTGTAGAGTTCAGCTGATGCAACTGATTTCAACCCCCATTAGCGCAATCAGTCTGTTCACAAAACACAAGGTTCATTGCAGATGTTTAAAGGTAATTATTTTTGCTATTTTTCATACATGCCATTATAGTTGTCCAACTTGTAATATGTGTTTTCCTCTACCTACCACATTTGTCATCTCTGTTGGATAATGTCTTCCACCCCACGCATGAAGCTGTTGCTGAACTGGAAAGGTCCTTCAGTTACAGACTGCTGCTCCCTAAATGCACAAGGGAGCGTTATCACTGATCCTTCCTCCCTGTTAGACTATAACCATCACTGTTCCAAATAACCTCAATAGTTCACATTAAAAATGCAGATTTCTGCACAGTTTCTGTCTTAGTCTCTCCGGTGTTGCTGCTCTTTTAACATATCCATTACTGTAAAAATGTCCACAGCTGTATATGGATTATTTATTCTCCAGATGCACAGTATTTATATTGTAAAAACACTGTACAGTATTTTATTTGTTTATTCTCTTAACTCTGTCACTTATTCAGTTTATTTATACACTTTTTTAAGCTCCACATTTGTCTGACAACTTTTGCTATAAACTTTTGCTGCTGCTGTAACACCACAATATTGTGGGGCAAGAAAAGGATGTTTTAAACTTCTATTCTACAGGCCTCATTACGCGGTTCATGGGAAAGAGATTCTGGGGCGCATGATGGTGTGACCCACTGCATGCTCTCTTTTACCTGGTTACTTTGTTTAGTCTCTGTTATAATTAGAAAACAGGGGATGGTTTGGTAATAGATCCCCCAAAACCCCCCAAAAATGGTAACAAGTTCTCCTCAAACACCATCACAGATTCCACAATAGAGTCAGAAAATAAAACTAGTGTGACGAAAAGGGTCAGACTGAAGTCTGAATAAGATGAAGGTAAATGTTGGATTAGCTTTTAAAAAACAGGGAGCTCAGATCTGCCCTGGTGATGGCCCTCTTTTTGCCAAAATGGCATTATGCCACATTCTAAATAACTTCCATATTTATGGACAGTATAAATCTAAACAAGACCTGTGGAGCCACAGGTGGTGCATTTCCTTTGTGTTGTTACAACTTGTTGCCAGAGGGGGCAAACATCTGCTAAAACTCTGGAACTTCTTCCACTTCTTCTTCTTTAATCCCAACAATCTTTGACTGTTTTGAGAAAGGGAAATTCTGAAAAGAGCATGCATCTCGATATTCTAAAGGTGTCTGTGGTGAACGTGCAAAAAGCATAAATATGAGCTGAAGCTTCACTCTCCATTAGGAGGGCTAAACCTATGCAAACATGATTTATTCAAGATGCTTATAGTTGGTTCTTTGTTTCCAAACTCAGGGAAACAAATGAGAATTTATGAAGTTGGTCATAA